AGCTCCTTGGGAGGCTGAGCCAGGAGACTCGCTTGAGCCCAGGAGTTGGAGGTTGCTGTGAGCGTGATGCCATGGCACTCTACCCAGGGGGGATAGCTTGAGGCTCCGTCTCAAAAAAAAGCTTGAAGTTGGGATTTTGCTGTTGTTTATTTTGTGAACAAAAATTTGCTAATATTTGATAGCTGCTATCATATCCTCTGTATGTTTTAGAGCTTATTCTTTTCATTTTATTATGAAAAGTGCTGATGATGCAATATTAAATTCTTTTTATTTGCTTTTTTAAAAAATATGGAATGCTTCACAAATTTGTGTGTCATCCTTGCATAGCAGTATTTATACTTATTTCTTTATAATTTTTGATTGTGTGATATGCTATCAAATAGGTGAAACACAGTTTAATCATTTTTTGTTTTATTTAGGTTATTTTTATTATTACTATTTGAGAGAGAGCCTCACTCTTTTGCCCCAGACTAGAGTTCCCTGGCATTAGTGTAGCTCATGGCAGCCTTAGACTCCTGGGTTCAAGTAATCCTCTAGCTTCAGCCTCCCAAGTAGCTGGGACTACAGGTGTCCACCACAACATCTACATCCACCTAATTTTTCTTTCTTCTTCTTTTTTTTTTTTAAGTAGAGATGGGTTCTCACTCTTAGGCTGATCTGGAACTCCTGAGCTTACGCAATCATCTGCCTCAGCCTCCCCAAGTGCTAGGATTACAGGCATGAGCTACTGTGCCCCGCCCGTGTAGGTTATTTCTGATTACAGTAGAACTCTCTTTCCTGTGATTTCACTTTTCTTGAATTTGCTTTCCATGGTCTCAGTTACCTGAAGTCAACCATGCCTGAAAATATTAAATGGTATATTCCAGTTTATAAGTTTGCATGCTCTTCTGACAAATGAGATAAAATCACGTGCCATCCTTTTCTGTCCCACTCAGATATGAATCACCCGCTGTCCAACACAATCATTCTGTGTACACTCCCTACCCATTAGTCACTTAGTAACCGTGTGGGTTATCAGATTGATTGTTGAGGTAGCACAGTACTTTTGTTCAAAGAACCCTTGGTTTAGTTTATAATGGCCTCAGAGTGCAAGAGTGGTGAAACTAGCAGTTTGAATCTGCCAAAGAGAAGGTATAAATGCTTCCCTGAGTGAAAAGGTGAAAGTTCTCAACTTTATAAGGAAAGCTGAAAAAAATCATGTGCTGAGATTGCTAGATGGAGAGTAAGAATACATCTTTTATCTGTAAAATTGTGAAGAAGAAAAAAGAAATTTGTGCTAGTTTTGCTGTTGCACCTCAAACTGAAAACTTAAGCCTCATTGCTCTAGAAGTGCCTGTTAAGGTGGAAAAGGGATTAAATACGTGGATGTAAAGCTGAACACAAGTGTGTTCCAGTTGATGGTGGCGGGTTTGGAATAATCTGTGGTTTCAGGAATTCACTTGATGTCTTGGAGAGTATCTGCTGAGGATAAGGGGGGACTATTGTATTTGCTATTGTAAGTGATTCTGTGATATTAAGTTGTTTACTTTGAAAATATACTGAGATAAGGAATTACTCAGCAGTCATAAGACTCTTACTGCCTGGTACCAAACTATTATCCAAAGGGATGGTGCCAGTATGTATTTTAATAGGCAATATACCGAGAGTTTCTATTTGTACTCTCAGCAACATCTGGCATTATTTTTAAAAACCTGCAGTAATTGGGAGGTGTGGGTGGAGTAGGGGAATATGTCTGTTGTTTGAATTTGCATTTCTTTGATTATTAGAAAATTATGGCTTTTCTCTTGTTTCTTAAAAAAAAAAAAAAGAAAGAAAAGTCACAGTCCTTCGATGATATTTTGGGGAGTGAAAGTGAGAGTGCCAGATTCTGGCCAAGCTTGATCTTTTATACTTCCAAGTTTACTTAACCTACTGACCTAACAGATATTGCAGTTTTGGTTCTTATTTTCAATGCTGCTAAAACCTGTCCAACAATGCCAGCATTGTTCTCAGATCACACCTTCAGGCACTATGCCTACCTCCGAGACAGTCTTTCTCATCTTGTTCCTGCCTTAAGGGTATGTTGTGTTGTTTGTTTGGTTTGCTTTTTTTTTTAGGTGTTACTCTGTGGGTCAGGCTATAGTGCAGAGGGGTCATCATAGATTATAGCCCACTGCAACATCCACCTCCTGCGCTCAAGCCATTCTTTTGCCTTGCCTCTCAAGTAGCTGGGACTACAGGCACACACCAGATACTGGGGTCTCTTGCTCAGGCTGGTCTCAGACTCCTGAGCTCTCGCCTCTCAGAGTGCTAGGATTACAGGCATGAGCCACTGTGGCCAGCCTAGTTTTTGATTTTTGGTACTATTTGGTTATTAAATAGCAGAAAGCAGGCTATATGTTCTCTGGAAATCCAGTCATTCATTCTTTTTCTCTCTTGGGCTGTCTCCCTTTGTTTTTTAATTTTGAAAGATTCATTTTAGTGTTCTTGGGTTATTGATTATGTGGTGGGAGGCAAGAAAAAGGAATCTAGAACAATAGATCATATTTTAGACTAAAGAATAAATTGTTATATTTTAATAATTACATAAAGCCATGATTCTCAAGTGTTCATTTTTTAATTAATCCTTTATTTTTAAAACTTAGAGATTTGGCTTGGTACCTGTGGCTCAAGTGGCTAAGGCGCCAGCCATATACACCCAAGGTGGCAGGTTCGCATCCAGCCCAGGCCTACCAAACAACAATGATGGCTGCAACCAAAAAATAGCTGGGCATTGTGGCAAGTGCCTGTGGTCCCAGCTACTTGGGAGGCTGAGCCAGGAGACTCGCTTGAGCCCAAGAGTTGGAGGTTGCTGTGAGCTGTGATGCCATGGCACTCTACCCAGGGGGACAGCCTGAGGCTCTGTCTCAAAAAAAAAAGAGATTTATAGAAAGAAAAATTCTAAATGGAGCATGCAAATAATAATAGTAAACACTTAGTGAATGCTTTGTTTTCACTACTCTTATGAGCTCTCTATTTCTATGACTCATCACTAATTAACTCCAAATAATTTTATTTAGAATAATTACATGTAGCAGCCTATTTAGATTATGGCAAGGAGGAGTGAGAGTTATAAGAAACCCCTGTATAGCCACATAATGTAACACCTTGGTGAAAAGAGCATGGGGAGGGATTTGGCTCGCCTCACAGACATGAGAGGTCGAGAGACGAGAGCATCAGTGATTGGCAATCTCTGCACCTGTGGTGTTCAGCGCCATGGGAGTGTGTCTATAAGAGGCTAGAGGAGAAGGCAGTCGGGAGTTGCACGTTCTATCACGGAACCCCTCACAATGACTCTGTCACATTTCCTGCCTGCAGAACACCTGCACAATGCCTGCACAGTGTCTCTCTCTACCAAAGACTACTAACACTTATTCTTCTTACTAAGACTGCTTTACTCCTCAAATACTGTCTTTCTCTCTCTCTCTCTCCCTTCTGCTAAAGCAAGTAGCCCTCAGGCACCTAAGAGCAATTGTTCCCAAGCAAGGTAGCCTAGCGGTCTGCGTCCGGAACCTAAATAAACGGTGGGCCAGAGACCTGGCCCGTCTCAGGCCCCAACAAGTGGTGACCATGAAGGGACCCCGACAATTACATATATGCATATTTATATGGTTAGAAAGTTTAAACTTTACAGAAGATAAAAAATGAAATCTTTGCTATTCCTTCCCCATCCTTTTCTTAAAAGATAACCCCTTTTAACAGTAAGAAAAGCATTATTAATATAATTTTTTTTTTTGAGACAGAGTCTCACTGTCACCCTAAGTAGAGTGCTGTGGTGTCATAGCCCACAGCAACCTCAAATTCTTGGGCTCAAGTGATCCTCTGGCCTCAGCCTCCCAAGTAGCTGGAACTACAGGCACTCACCACAATACCTAGCTATTTTTAGAGATGGGGTCTCTGCTGTTGCTTAGGCTGGTCTTAAACTCCTGAGCTCAGGCGATCCACCTGCCTCAGTTTCTGAAAGTGCTAGGATTATAGGCATGAGCCACCACACCTGGCCTAATTATTTTCATAAAAAACATTTTTATAGGGCGGCACTTGTGGCTCAAAGGAGTAGGGCGCTGGCCCCATATGCCGGAGGTGGCAGGTTCAAACCCAGCCCTGGCCAAAAAAAAAAAAAAAAACTACAAAAATCCCCCCATTTTTATAGCATGCTACATAAACTTGGGAATAAGTCACTTTTCCAGCTTAATTTTTAGTCTTATTCCTATGGTTAGCCTATTTATTTTAGTTGGCAATAGAAAATAATACTATATCATTCCCTTTTATTTTTACCTGGCATCTGTGGCTATATTGGAATAGACCAAATCTGCCCCCTCTGTCTCTCTCCCTCCCTCTCCCTCCCTTCCTCTCTCTCTCTTTCCCTCTCTCTTCCTCTCCCTTCCTCTCTCTCCTTCCCTCCCTCTCCCTCCCTTCCTCTCTCCTTCTCTCTCTCTCCCTTCCTCTCTCTCTGTCCCTTCTACCCTCTCCCTCTTCCTCTTCCTCCGTCCCTCTCTCCCCCCCTCTTCCTTTTCTGCCACCCCCACTATAGCTGGGGAAGGGGAGGAAGGTAATTTACAGACTCTTTCCTATCCTTCTTTTCCTGTTTTGTTTGACTCACATTTTTCTGGTTTCTTTGTGTTACCAAAAGCCAAGCCACAGAACTTGATGGTACTATAATCCCACTGTGTCTGCTTAGTTACCAGGTAGAAAACTATTGTCATCAGCTGTTTCTCCCAACATCATGCCTCATGAGGATCCTTCCCAGCAGTTTCTACAGCAGAGCCTCGAAAGAGTATATAGTCTTCAGCACCTGGACCCTCAGGGAGCCCAGGAGTTGCTAGAATTTACCATCAGGTAAGGTGATCATCCATTTCTTCTGACAGAGTTACTGCTCAGCGTGAGTGTTGAATTCTGGTGTTGGTTACTAGGCTTTGTAGCCTGGCTCTGTTGGCCTGCACTCACACGTGAATTTATGATCTGTTTTATTTGTATTCAGTTGTGGTTTGAACGAAGTTTTTAAAAAAGCTCTTTGAACTCATGACTCAATTGACTAGTAAATGGAAATAGTTATAAATGAGTTATCTTTAGGTTTCTTTCTTGTGTATTAGTTAAGATGGGTGACAGAAATGCAAAGCAACAGATTAAATAGGAAGACAGTTAATTGTCTCTCAGGAGCAGGTCGGGGCTGAGATGACCTTCAGGGTTGTAAGCTTGTTCTTGTGTCTCCATCTGCATCAAGTGGCTTCTGCCTAACAATCCAAAATTTAAAGATCCCTTCTGTATTCCAGCCTGTGGGAAAGAGGAAAGGGCACGAGAAGGCATCATTTCCACCATACCCCCTTTTAAGATACTTCCCCAAAGCTGTACACTCTAATTTTACTTGGATCCCTTTGACTAGAACTTAAGTCACATAGTCATCTCTACCTTCAAGGAGCTATGAAATGCAGCCTTTACTCTGGGTGTCTGTCGTCTGATTTACATATAATGACTCTATTACTCAGGGAGAATGTGAGAAAAGAAACTGAGGAACAACCAACAGGCTGTGCCAGACCTTCTTAAAATGGCCTGATTGATAAAAGAGGAATCAAAACTCATTTGCCTTTATTAAAAGCAGTATTGTTTGCTCTTATAAGATAGAAAAATATACATTTGTAGCTTGGTTCATATTTCCTTTGATCTCCTCCAAAGAATATTAGTATCAGCTACATTCAACTAATAATTCTTAATGGATGATTTAATTCCAAACACTGGGAAACAAGCTGTATGCCAGATGCAGATCAGCTAGATAGGACTCTTCCCTTAGAGAGCTCATCTAGGCAGCATGGATTTAGACACAGAACTAGAGTGATGGGGTCCACTCGAGTCAAAGGGATCTGAGTAAAATTAGACTGTACAGCTTTTGGGAAGTATCTTAACAGGGGGTGTGGTGGAAATGATGCCTTCTCATGCCCTTTCCTTTTTCCCACAGGCTGGAATACAGAGGGATATTTAAATGCTGTATTCTCTGCCCATGCTTTCCTGTCCAGGATTGCGTCTTAGCATGTTATAAAGCAGTCCAGCTCAACCATCTTCCAAGTTCTGTTTCCCCATTATACAAGGTCATGTCTTGTCATTCACTCATTTTTTCAATTAGGAGCATTAACTGTGTATTTATTCTAATAGGCCAGATGCTGAGGATAGAGAGGAAATACAAATGTGAAATGACTTTTGTTCTGAAGGTACTCACTGTTTATGTTTATCACAAGACCCCGAAATCCTTGACTTGGTAAATGCCACAGTGGAGAGAAGACTAGGTGCTGTGAACAAACAGCTGAAGGTCTCTGATTGGTCAGAGTGGAAGTGGTCAGGGACACTTACAGGACAAGACCCTTTAGCTAGTATGGTGTGATGACTGAGCCATGCCAGTTTGGTAGTTAAGGTATGAAAGAGAATTTTAGCTGCAACAAACATCTGAAGAGCGGAGAGACATGAGGGAGAGTGGCCTCACAGAACACCAGTGGTGTCGTATAGTTTGATTCAGTAAATGGAGCTTTGGAGGCATACTGAATTGAGTTCTAGTCTGAACGCTACCATTTAATATAGTCATGTGTGACATTATAATATTTCAGTCAACAGCAGGCTGCATGTCTTATAAGATTATAATATTTTATTTTTATTGCACTTTTTCTATGTTTAGATATGTTTATATACTCAAATACCATTGTGTTACAGTTGCCTACAGTATTGGGTAAAGTTACATATGCGGTACACATTTATAGTTCATAAATATCTATAGTTATAAATATATACACTTTATAGCTCAGCATTCATTCGTAGGAAACAATATAGGCTTTTAACTATGCTGAAAGAAATTTATTACAGAATGTTAAAGTGGCTCATAGAACTGTTGGAAGGCCAAAGAAACAGATTAGATTGAATATCCAGAAATGATTTCCAGAGCCACACAGTGAATGGGCCACCAAGGGGCTGCTATTTCCTGATGGGTCAGGATACTCCCTCTTGAATCAGGATATCACCAACAAAGCTCCTGGCTCCAGAACCATGTCTTGCTCTCTGCCTCTTTCCCCACTGCATTTCCTATGCACAGCTCAAGAGAATATGTTTGATTGGCAGATCCTAACTGACTTCAGGAACCTCGCTCAAGGGAATCTTAAGAAATGCAATTTTTTTTTTTAGGCTAGTCAAGTGAAGCAGTGGGAGTGGAGAATGAACAAAAGAGTCTGTAACTGGTTGTGATCCCAGTGCACTGGGACCAAATGCTATATTTCACGGCTGCCTTTGCAGTCTAGGAAGATCATTAGATGAGGATTGGAATGCTGATATGAGTGAGTCAGATCCATAGTAGATGCCATCAGTACCAAACTGCTCTGAGCGCCATTTCCTTCTCTGGAGAACTTGGTGACAGGGATGATAGGTACAGGGATGAGAGTGAGGAACTAGGAGAGAATAAATAGATGTTCTGGTAATCTTCTAACCCTATTAAAAAGTTGAGGGTGTCCTGGGCTCCTCTGGGAGTTGCAAAGACCAGGACTGGATGGACTGTGGGGAGATAATGGAGCTATATAGTTGTGGCTATGGCCACAGGAGAGCAAGACCATGAAGCATGTGGCCAGCAGGGACCTCATGCACCTCCCCCTGGGCAGATAGTCTGCTGTACCCCAGGGAAGCCTCCAGGAGCCACGTAGAGGCTCACAGAAGCTCTTGCCCTGGGGGTCTCCTCAGCTACTGCAGCAGTAGGGCCACCCAGAGTTGCTCTGCTCTCCATGCAGGGAAGATTTATAAAGTCCCTCGTAAGCACAGGCCTTTGGGATTCTGCTGTGGACTGGACATTTCAAATCAATGAAGGAGATCACGTCAGAAATGATAGATGCTGCAAGAAACAAAGCCCCAGAGAAAGCTTGTTACATAGTGATTGGACTCACACATACTGCCTGCTCTGCGGAGATAGCATCAGCCAAAAGGGCTGCAGAAGGACGTTACCCTTAACAACATGAAAGCTCTATGGCACTGCACAGGCTAAGGCTAAATGATAGTCTAAGTGGCAGAGCGCTCACCTGAATACCATCTCTGTAATCACCAACAGGGAAAGATAGGGGAAAGAGATTATTTTTTAATGAAATGATTTTATCATGACAGTTTGTTCTCTTGCTGCTGTACGTTGAGTCATACACATGATATTTATTGAGTGCCAGCAGTGTGTCAGGAACAATGCTTTAAACTAGGTCACCAAACTGCAGCCTGTGGACTAAATCTGGCCTGTTTTGTTTGTTTGTTTTGTTTTTTGAATAAGAGTCTCACTATATCACCCTCGGTGGAGTGCTGTAGTGTCACAGCTCACAGCAACCTTAAACTTTTGGGCTTAAGCAATCCTCTTTTTTTTTTTTTTTTTTTTTTTTGAGACAGAGCCTCAAGCTGTCACCCTGGGCAGAATGCTGTGGCATCACAGATCACAGCAACCTCCAACTCCTGGGCTCAAGAGAGTCTCCTGCCTCCGCCTCCCAAGTAGCTGGGACCACAGGCACCTGCCACAACGCCTGGCTATTTTTGTTTTGGTTGCAGCCATCACTGTTTGGCGGGCCCGGACTGGACTCGAACCCGCCACCTCAGGTGTATGTGGCTGGTGCCTTAGCCACTTGAACCACAGGCGCCGAGCCTTAAGCAATCCTCTTGCCTCAGCCTCCCAAGTAGTTGGGACTACAGATGGCTGCCACTACCCCCAGCTACTTTTAGAGATTGGGGTCTTGCTCTTGCTCAGCGTGGTTTCAAACCCCTAACCTCAAGCAATCCACCAGCCTCAGCCTCCCAGAGTGTTGGGATTACAGGCATGAGCCACCGCACCCAACCTTACTGATTTTTTTTTTTGCAGTTTTTGGCCAGGGCTGGGTTTGAACCTGCCACCGCTGGCATATGGAGTCAACGCCCTACCCTTTTGAGCCACAGGCGCTGCCCTTACTATCTGACTTTTTATAGAAAAAGTTTGCTGAGCCTGCTGTAAACTCTGGGCAGTCCACAGCTCTGTAAGACAAGGTTCCAGTCCTTTCTGTTCCTCTTGTGAATTGATGCCTCACTCACTTTCCATCTCTTCTTCTTCCTCACCAAAATGCCTAGTTTGGGAGGCCACTAAATGAGGTTGTTGACCCCGAGTCCACTAAAATAAGCTCTGCTTCCTGACTCTTCCCCATCTAAATAAATGTTTAGGTTTTGTCCTTGACAGTTGTATCCTGTTGGCACTATAGTGAGTGCAAAATGGACAAAGCAAGTCAATGTGGTCAATAGCTGCAGTGCTGGCTGTTAGAACGTACTCAGGAAACACCTTTTGGTGTGAGTTGCCTTCATGATCTGGGTTTCAAGAGATGACAGTGCTGCTGGACTTTGGCCCAGCCAGATTTTTCTTCTAGTGCTATGGTCAGTCCCAGGCTGTATGTTTCTAGCTTGAGTGCATTCTTAGGATAGGAGAGCTGGAAAGGAAAGCAGATGGAGCAGAAGCTTCTGAGAGCACACTATGCATTTGAAACATTATTGTAGACATGTAGCAATTTGGGAGGAAGTGGCAGAAGCAGAATTGGATCTAGCTTTGTCTTGCTCTGTGATATGTAGCAATGAAGGGGGTTTCTATTACCAAGTGAGATTAGATCAGATGATCCCTGAGGTTCTTTACAACTTTATAGTTTCTGTAGTTGTTGTAAAGTGAAATAAATGTTAGTTTTATACTGAGGTTCTCGGATTAGGACTGGGGCCGTGTATTTGTTAGTATTAATGTAAAACAAGCTTCACTTTTAAGCGCATTGCCCTTTATTATAATCCAAGAAGCCATTTTACCAAACCAAGATCTCAGCTATGGAAAGTTTGCTGTAGTTCAATGATATTTGATATGATATTTGATACTTGTTTACAGGTATGAGCCACCAGACCTGGCCAGATATGTTTTTATATGTTTGCAGCCGTGTCTATACTTACATCTGCTTAGGATACTTTTAATTCCAGGTTTCAGAAAACTTTACCTCAAACTAGCTTACAATGCCTATTTATTTTCTGCTATGATCTAAATGTTTATGTCTCCTCCTTCCCAAATTCATATTTTGAAATCCTAATCCATAAGGTAATGGTATTAGGAAGTGGGGTCTTTGGGAGGTGATTAGGCTGTAAGAGTGTACCCTTCATGAATGGAACTGGTACTCTTTTTTTTTTTTTCTCTTTCTTTTTTTGAGACAGAGTCTCAAGCTGTCACTTTGGGTAGAGTGCTGTGGCATCACAACTCACAGCAACCTTTAACTCTTGGGCTTAAGTGATTCTCTTGCCTCAGCCTCCTAAGTAGCTGGGACTACAGGCATCTGCCACAATGCCTATCTATTTTTAAGTTGTAGTTGTCGTTGTTGTTTGGTGGGCCCCGGGCTGGATTTGAATCCACCAGCTCTGGTATATGTGGCTGGTGCCCTAGCCGCTTGAACTACAGGCACCAAGCCGGGACTAGCGTTCTTATCAGAAAGGCATAAAGGAGCTCTTTTCATGTTTTCTAACGTATTAAGATGCATCATACGTTAGAGGGTGCTGTCTGTGAGGAAACAGGCAGGCTCTCATTAGACTCCAGATCTGGACCTCCTTGATCTTGGACATCTTAGCCTATAGACGATGAGAAATAAATTTCTGTTGTTATGGCTCAGCGCCTATAGCTCAAGTGGCTAAGGCGCCAGCCATGTACACCAGAGCTGGCGGGTTTGAATCCAACCTGGGCCTGCCAAACAACAATGACAACTACAACCGAAAAATAGCCAGGTATTATGGTGGGCGCCTGTAGTCCCAGCTACTTGGGAAGCTGAGGCAAGAGAATCGCTTAAGCCCGGGAGTTGGAGGTTGCTGTAAGCTGTAATGCCACAGCACTCTACCCAGGGTGACAGCTTGAGGCTCTGTCTAAAAAAAAACAACAAAAAAAATTTCTGTTGTTATGAGCTACCCAGACTATGGTACTTTCTTATAGCAGTCAAATGTACTAAGACATTTCGTCATGTGACTGTAAGTTGAAGGTATAGTATGATACCTCTAGTATACAGCTTATTTATATCATTCAGGACTCAAACTCTCTCTTTCTCTTTGGATTTTTCGTGTCTTTAGCAAGTAAAACCTTTTCCTCCTTATAGTTACAGTATAACTTCTGTGAGAAATAGGGCTCTATGCATTCTTGCTCAGTCCTATGGGAAACAGAGACGGGACAGACACACCAACCTGCCCCCACCAAAGAATATAAATTCTTCTGTTTGGAGTGATGAGACCACCTTAGGTCACTATCCAGAGGGATAACAGGTACTAATTGGCTTAATTCAATCAGATTCTACCTGGAGTTGGGTTTGGGGATGTGTTCCCTTGAACAAAGTCAGTTCCGTTAGTAATGAAGAAGTGGCTGAGTAAGCAACCAATAAATCCCCCACAATACCTTTCTTTCTTCTTTTTTTTTTTTTTATTGAGACAGAATCTCACTTTGTCACCCTCGGTAGAGTACTGTGGCATCATAGCTCACAGCAACTTTAAACTTTTGGGCTCAAGAGATTCTCTTGCTATAGCCTCTCTAGTAGGGGGGACTACAGGCACCCACCACAATACCTAGATGTTTTGTTTACCAGGTCCTGGCCAGGTTCAAACCCACCAGCCCTGGAGCATGTGGCCAGCGCCCTAACCATTGAGCTACGGGCGCCCAGCCCACAATACTTTTTTTTTTTTAGAGACAGAATCTCATTTCATCACCATTGGTAGAGTGTCTTGGCATCACAGCTCATAGCAACTTCCAGCTCTTGGGCTTAGGCGATTTGCCTGCCTCAGCCTCCCAAGTAGCTGGGACTACAGGCGCTCACCACAATACCTGGCTATTTTTTGTTGCAGTTTGGCCAGGGCTGGGTTCGAATCCGCCACCCTCAGTACATGGGGCCGGCGCCCTACTCACTAAGCCACAGGCACCACCCACACAATACCTTTTTTTACGAAAAAAAATTGGAGAGGCCAAGCATGGTGGTTTATGCCTGTAATACTAGCACTCTGGGAAGCTTAGGCAGGAGGATTGAGGTCAGGAGTTTGAGACCAGCCTCAGCAAGAGCAAGACCCCGTCTCTACTAAAAATAGAAAAAGTGGCTTGGCGCCTGTGGCTCAAGTGGCTAAGGCGCCAGCCACATACACCTAAGATGGCGAGTTCGAATCCAGCCCTGGCCCGCCAAATAACAATGACGGCTGCAACCAAAAAATAGCCAGGCATTGTGGCGGGCGCCTGTGGTCCCAGCTACTTGGGAGGCTGAGCCCAAGAGTTAGAGGTTGCTGTGAGTTGTGATGCCATGGCACTCTACCCAGGGTGACAGCTTGAGGCTCTGTCTCAAAAAAAAAAAAAAAAAGAAAAGAAAGAGAAAGCTGGTATTGTGGTGAGTGCTGCTCAGGAGGCAGAGCCTAGGAGTTTGAGGTTGCTGTGAGCTAGGCTAAGGCCATGGCACTCTAGCTTGGGAAAATAGTCCACACAACAATGTATATATATATATGTAGTTTTTCATTTTTTCAGATTAGTATGTTAGTACAAACAATTAGGTTATATACTTTACACATGACAGGTCAAAATCAAAATTGTAATTGTATCCCATACCCAGGGAGTGTACCATATATCCATGCATTGTACCCATTGGTTGGGAAGCTACTGAACCCTGTCCCTGTCCCCGCTTCTCTTTTTTTTTTTTTAAACTTTATTTATTTATTTATTTTTATTAAATTATAGCTGTGCACATTAATGCAGTCATGGGGTACAGTGTGCTGGTTTTATATACAATTTGAAATATTTTCACCAAACTGGTTAACATAGCCTTCATGGCATTTTCTTAGTTATTGTATTAAGACATTTATATTCTGCCCTTCCCCTCTTCTTGAGTTTAATTGAGAATTACTCTTATGTGGATCTTTAAGTTTCAAATTGGTATTGAGTACATGTGATGCTTGTTTTTTTTTTTTTAATTTTCCAATACTCAGGAGAATGGACTGCAAATCCATTCAGGTTGTTACAAAGGATGCAAAATTTCCATCTTTTTTAGGGATTAATAGTAAGTATTCCATGGTGTACATATACCGCAGTTTATGAACATAGTCCATGTGTTGATGGGCAGTTGGGTTGTTCCCACGATTTTGGAATTGTGAACTGAGTGGCTATGAATATTCTAGTGCAAATATCCTGTGGTAAGATGCCTTTTATTGGGTTGGGTGAATGCCTTGTGGTGGAATCGCAGGGTCAAATGGTAGGTCTATGTTTAGTTCTTTGAGTAATCTCTGTACTTCTTTCCATAGAGGCTGTACTAGATTGCAGTCCCACTAACAGTGCCTGAGTGTGGCTCTTCTCTCCACACCGACTCTAGCAACTGTTGCTTTGGGACCTTGTGATGTGGGCCATTCTCACTGGGGTTAGGTGATATCTGAAAATGTTTTTGATTATCATTCCTCTGATGATTAGGGATGATGAGCTTTTATTGATGTATAACAATCAATATTATGGGGCATAAAGCATTTCATTTCTGTTGACTGTTCCCTTAGGATTACTTTCCAGTATAAAGCTACTGATCGAAATATTTTACCATCTATGTTGCTTTTGTAACATAGTACAGATTTGTTTTCCAAAATGGTTGTACCAGCTTTAACTGTTATCAGAGTGTGAGATTATAACCACTGCAGCATTTGGTGTTGTCATTTAAACATTTATGACCATGGTGGCACCTGTGGCTCAGTGGGCAAGATACCAGCCCCATATACAAAGGGTGGTGGGTTCAAACCTGGCCCCGGCCAAACTGCAACAAAAAAATAGTTCTGGCAAGCACCTATCGTCCCAGCTACTTGGGAGGCTGAGGCAAGAGACTCGCCTAAGCCCAGGAGTTGGAGGTTGCTGTGAGCTGTGACACCACGGCACTCTATTGAGGGTGATAGAGTAAGTCTGTAACTCTTAAAAAAAAAAAAAAGAAAGAAAGAAAAAAGACCAGTTTACTAGGTATAAAATTTAAAATGCTTTTTACATGATCTTTATGTTAGTGACAATATCCTTATTCTGTGTTTGGCTTGGGGTTTTTTTATTCACCACAGGGATCTGCAAAGACTTGGAGAACTTCAGTCTGAATTGGCGGGAGTAGCTGACTTCTCTGCTACCTATCTTCGCTGCCAGCTACTTCTCATCAAGGTTGGTTTGGACCCATTATGCTTATGATTGTGATGCTAAGAATGCACTTTCATGGGTCCAGCAGTGCTTGAGGCCACAAGTTGAAAAACATAGTTCTTATACAACCACTTAGCAATGGAGAAATTATATATGCTGCAGTGTATTCATTATATTTGTTTCTAAATAAAGAAACATTAACTTGTGTAGGAATTTGAGTTTGTAAACTTTTGGAGAAATTTTTTTCATCATTATACAGGGTGTCCATAAAGTTTGTGTGCTATTTAAATAGTACAGAGCTATTAGAGCAGATTAGATCATCATTTTAATTAGAATCCCAATGATTTTAAATGTTTTATATAATTTGATTAGCAAAGGATTTATATGAACTTTTATACTACTTTCTTAAAGTGCTTATTTTATTATGTCAAGAGTTAAAATGTTGATTTTTTTTTTTTGAGACAAAGTCTCACTTTGTTGCCCTTGGTAAGGTAAAGTACTGTGGCATCATAGTTCACAGCAACTTTAAACTCCTAGGCTCAAGAGATTCTCTTGCCTAAGCCTCCTGAGTAGCTGGGACTATAGGTGCCTGCCACAAGGCCCAGCTGTTTTTAGAGATGGGTTCTCACTTTTGGCTCAGGCTGTTCTCCAGTCCATGAGCTCAAACAATACACCTGCCCCGGCCTCCCAGAATGCTAGGATTACATGCATGAGCCACTGTGCCCAGCCCCAAATTTATTCCTCTTAAAAGGACCAACTTGATACATTTCATACTAAGTAGTCAGATAATATATGTGCACAAAATTGGTACCCAAGAAGCTATTTAGTTTTGTTGAGTTAGAAACTGATTAGGGGCACTATAATTTTTCTACATTTTGCTATCCATGGAGGCCTTTGAAATTTGTCTTTATGGCTCGGCACCTGTGGCTCAAGTGGCTAAGGTGCCAGCCACATACACCTAAGGTGGCAGGTTCGAATCCAGCC